CATAAAAATAACATCCAAATCTGACTTTGTATGAGGAAGTTATGATTTTTCTAAAATTTAGCATAACAACGCACATCCCAAAATTTGAATTTTAGATCGGTTGATTTTTAACCAATATAGTCTAAACAAGAATTTAAGATCTCGTTAATAGGAGTTCAACAACAAAAGACAATCGAAAACGGAGCTCGTATGAGAAAGATATGGACGAAACTTAGTCCATACTCTTCAAGCGCGGCAAATTCGATACAGATTTGTAAATTCGAGATAGAATGAGAATTAGTTGATGGAGTCTAAATGATAGTTTTAGTAATCATAAATACCAACGTGTGGATATAAACAACATCTAGAATAGAGCTCATATGTTAAAGATATGGACGAAACTTGGTCCCCACTATTCGAGCGCGATAAATTCGTTATAGTTTTGTAAATCTGAGATAAAATGAGAATTAGCTGACGGAGTCTAAATGAAAGTTATAGTACTCGTAAATACCAATGCGTGACAATATTCTCTCATGAATTGGCATTATGCCTCTTACCTATATTAAATACTACAAAATACAAATGGGATACAAATACATAAAATGTACTTACTACAAAAGTGGACTGTCTAACCAAACTAGTAAAGACAATACAATCCATATATAATACACATACAAATACGTCTAACAGAACCCTACAGTTTGGACGAGCGGTCGAGAACGATCATTCAGACGAGATCTGAAATCTAGAAAAAGAGTAGCAATATCCCCTTTTTAAATATATCAACATATTGTGATGAAGATGGAGCATGAAGAACACAGATTTGCCCCAAGGCCACTTTATCACATATGTCAATCTCAATGTGATTAGTGTGTTGGTGTTAAACCAGATTGGTGGACAAGTAAAAGATACTAACATTGTCATAGTAAACAAGAGTAGAAGTTAGAGGGGGGTAAAAGAGCTCCCGAAGTAGGGTAAGAAGTCAACTGGTTTCGACAACGACATTCACAACACGAAGAACATTCGCCCCTTTGTAAAGATATAAATGTATTGTGATGAAGATAGAAGATGAAGAATACAGATTTTCCCTAAAGCCACTTTATCACACACAAAATGTATGTCAATCTCAATGTGGTTGGTGTGCTGTTGTTAAATCGGATTAGTGGATAAGTAAACGACACTAACATTGTCGTAGTAAACCAGAAAAAAATTTAGAAGGGGATAAAAGATCTCCCGAAGTAGGTTAAGAAGCCAACTGGTTTCGACAACGACATTTGCAACACCATGATACTCAACTTCAGCACTAGACCTCGAAATGGTATCATGTCGCTTGGAAGACCGGTAGAGAAGATTCTGTCTAAGGAATACACAATAACTAGAAGTGGATTGTCTAAAGGTAGGACAACCTATCCATGAGAATCATATAACTGTAAACCATGGTCAGTTATAGGGCTTCCTATTGGGTTGAGGAACCATAGAAAAAAAGGCTTGTTGTTGGGCTACACTCGAATGCTATCAAGGCTAATTGAGACTAGGTAGGCCAGATGCTAAATTGGGAAATGGAACCATATGATTTATGGGAGAAGAAAACAACCCATGTTGTTGCTGTTTTTACATATATGGCATCTTTGAAGGATAATACTCACCCCAAGGAGTTTGACCACGAGTGTATCCACCAACGCCGGACCTGCCCTGCCGACCGCCACTTCTTCCCCCATTATGCATGCCTCTACCACGATGGTTCCGGCCAACACCTCGACTACAAAATTTATTGAGCTAGGAGTTTTGCTATCTATTTTGATGCTCGATATTTAAAACAATGGGGGAGCAGGCATTATCACGATGTGTAGCTTGAACAAGATGAGTGTGGTCCTTTAGCATTGAGCGTTCTTCAAAAGTAAGCACAAAGTGCATTTCAAGAAACATGTGAAATGAATTCTGATGACGAATGGTGGTGACACCGTGCGCACATTTTGGAGACAAACCATTGATAACATAAATAACAAGGTTACGTTCGGGTACTGGAGCGCCGATATTGGCAAGCAAGTCGGAGATAGATTTGATACAGGTATAATATTCCATGATTGTGAAGTTTCCAATGGTAATATTGTGATGTTCATCATCGAGTTCCATAGCTTTTGATTCCTTATTTTCATGAAACAAGTCTTCAATGGTCTTCAAAACGTCCTCAGCTGTAGCATCGGTTGTGAGTATGGATTGAATACTCTTTTGAGTAAATGTTCCGTATATGCATTGTTGAAAATGTTGTCAACCCTTTACCATTTTGGATCATCGTTTTTTAGGAGTCCCATCAAGATGATCATAAACCTTGTATCCAATGTATTGGTTTTTGAAGAGTTCTTTCCACGAATCATAGTTAAACCGATCAAGAAGAAGAAGTACATATGACTTGATGTTAGTTATGTTGTATATTTTTATCAGTGGGGCTAGGTTTAGAGTTGGATGAACCTACAATCGTGTTGAGAGGCACAAGAAAGATAGTCGAGAGATGTAGATAGATGAAGGCAGTAGAAGCGCAGAAGGAGGATGCAAGAAGAAAACGCTGACCACAGTTAGGAATCAACAAGAGTTGGATGGAAAAAGCCAGATACCATGTTAGTGAAAATATTTTCCCTTGAATTGGCATTAGCCTCTCACGTATATCAATTACCACATAATACAAATGGATTACAAATGTGTATAATGGGCTCACTACAAAAGTGGGCTGCCCAACAAAACTAATAAATACAATATACTATATTACAATAAATGAAGATCCATTTTGTCATATGTTAATCTCTCATGAGTTTTGATACTTGTCATTGTGTGATATTTTTATTTTTAAATAAATAATATACACATGTCAATTAGTAGGGTTTTTTTTTTTTTTTTTTTTTTTTTTTTTTTTTTTTTTTTTCAATTTTAAAATTAAAAAACTACATAATACTTATACTTATATATGTAAGTATTAAATGTAATAAATGTGATAGTAAATTGCATTTAATATGTTTCATCATTTCTTATTTCAAAATTTTATTTTAAAAAATATTTACATTCTGATATTAATTTTTTCAAATACTTCTAATATATAAGTTCTTCATGCAAATGCGTAAATCAGTGTCAATCATGTGGTATCTTTAGTAGTAAATAATTTTAATTATCTAGAATTTTGGCATATTTGCAGATGATGCAGAAAGTAACAAATAGGCATTACAGACACCACAAATTGTTACAAACGAATATAAATTTGAATACATTGTACACAAGTATCGGAATCATATCCCAGGAAACATGCAAAAGAAATGGTACGAAACAATAAAATTACAAGGAAAGGACAAGAGACGTGCCTGCCTGTAGATCAGATAATAAATGAAGGACCAGTCAAGAGTGTAAACTCTTCTAACAACGAGCAGCCTATAAATACCCCAAAGACATGATATCCGAGGTAGAGTAAGGTAAGGCAAAAAAGAGATAGCATGAATAGCATTAAGGTAACACTAAGAATCGCAATCTAATTTAGGCATCAGAAAGCTATTCTGGGGTCCAAATTAGATTGCGATTTCGTTTTCAAAGGCCATAACCCTCGGTTGGACCTTAGAATGATGAAATCTAATTTAGCATTAAGGTAACACTAAGAATCGCAATCTGAAGGCCATAATCCTCGGTATGTCTGTCTGATGCCTAAATTAGTTCCTGTGGATATAAAGAATGATGAAATCAGACTTAGAATTAAGAAGTTATGGCCTTCGTAAGATTGGCGGTTCTTGACCCTAGCCGAGTACGCTGGACGTACGCAAGGAGTATGTCGGGCGTACTAGCTCGACATCCGGATCGCAGAGGCTTCAGCATATGGTGGGCATATGCATGGACTTGTTTAACTTAGGCCTCGGGCCCACCTGATTGTAGCATGTCATTTTTTAGGCTTAAGACCATGTTGGGGGTTCTTGGGTCATATTGGGCCTTAGAGGCCTTGTAATTGGGCTTGGATGCCTTTTTGGGCTTTTTATGGATTTGGGCCTAAGGGGGAGGGAGGCCCATTGAGGCAGGGGTAAAGAAGCCCTTTTTGCCTTAAGTCAAGAATTAAGGTTTTGGACTTGAGTTCGAGATCATCACTTTAGAAGAAGAAGAGCAATCATAAGAGAAGAATAAGTCATTCGTTCATGAAGAAACCTGATTTTCAAAGGAGGAATATATCATTTATTGTTTTGTCAGTAATTATTGTGCCATGTCATAATAGTTAAGCCAAGTCATCATTTACCCTGTAAGAGTCAGTTACCGGTGGGTAATATTTGAACAAAACATATAATTTGTTGGTGTTTTTTATACTAAAAGTTTACTTGGATGGTGTTTTTTGAACATACCAAAGTTGAATGGTGTTTTTTGAACGATTTGGAAACATAGTTACCCATTTGAGTCGTTTCCTCTTGTTTTTTTTTTCCTTTACTTATTTTTTACCGGTAATTGCTGGTTACAATAAGGTTAAATTTGAACAAAAAATGTACTTTGTAGGTGTTTGTTGTACAAATGCTTTACTTGGATAGTGTTTTTTTGACACATCAAACTTAAATGATATTTTTTGAATGATTTTGAAACATAGTTACCCATATAAGTATTTTCCCAAATCATTTTGTAGTTTGAGTTGATATTGGTACGATGCTTTCACTTAGCTATAGAAGGAAATTTTGCAGAGGTGATGATATATATAGGTTGTGTAAGTGACACGTATGGACTCCACTGGAAAACAATGCCAAGAATGATCCAACACGAGGAGGATTGAGGTGGGTGGGTGGGGCAGGATACTGGCCTGGATATGGCCCATTTCACCTTCTTATTCTGTTTGGACTTGAGGTTTTTTCATAAAAATGATCATTTTCATGAAAGGTATGTATATCGATTGGATGAAAGGCTCTTTCATATCTGGTTGGGGTTTTCCCATCAATGATGATCAATCAACATTTGATTCTTAATTATGACCAAAAGAAATCATTTTGTACATAGCCGGAAACTCAAATTTTATCTTTGATCTGAAAGGAGTCGCACATGCACAAGAATTTAAATTAAAACTAGTTATTCAACAAATACTTTATATACAAGACAAGTTGAGGGAGCATTACGGGGACTATAAAGATTATTACAAATAATAAGAGATGATGATTATGTCTTGCTAGCTAGCTACTTTCCTTATTTAGCAAACCCTACTCACTCTGACTTTGACCACTGGGGGCGGGTGGCATTGGCATTGCAAAGCTACCACAATAATTTTCTTCTCTTCATTTCATCTATTATCATAATTTCTACATGCTGATGATCTGATTAGAGCTCTCTATCCTCTTCACTACTTTCTCAACAACATCTCCGATTCATCTGTTTTTGCAAACCTTCCTCTGATCCTTGGCTGACTGTCCGCCAAAGCCTTCCTGCAAGCATACTGAAAAAAAAAAAAAAAAAACCCAATAATCACCAAATCAAATTTATAAAAAAATAAAACCAACTACTTGTGCTTAAGCAGGTCTGGAAATGTGCATATGTGATTTGAACAAGTATTGGTACATAGATAATTTATAATTACCTTGATTTTTCTGCCAAAATTCCTCTTTGTTTTCTTGTTCCTGTATCTTGAGAGCTTTTGCATACGGTCTTCAATGGCACGCTCACTGATTAGTGGCGGCTGCTGCTGCTGCCCAAGCCCAAGGGGATATTGAATCAGTCCCGTGTTGGTGTTTGCATCCGCAAGGGTCTGTCATAAAAGAAAAACCACCATCAATAACGAACAACTGAAGTTGGTCTTTTTCTTGATTGATTCTACAATACCAGATATGTTTGTGTTTTTGATTGATTCTACTAACTGGGCTCACTGCTTAGCAGTGGTAATATTTGTAGTTAACAGATCGAGGTGTTTTAAAGCCAAGGTTTAGTTCCCCTTTACAGATTCTTTTTAGTTAATACGTTGAAATACAAAATCTGAATCATACAAACTCTATTCGCATATGCATATGCATATACAATCAATGTAGAAAATAAATCGAATATGACCTTTATGTCTCCATCACTGAAAGCCCTTCGCATACCATAAGCATTCCCAAAATCTAATTCACTGAAATTCAGAAAACTTGGCTTAATTTGAGCGCCTTGGATCCAATCCATTGAGTTTAAACTATCAGCGCTCATGCTTTTTGGGATTTGACATGATGGATGGACGTTCTCCTTTGCAACCCTGTTTTCATCTGTTGTAACCACCGGGAAACTGAAACTTAGGACTTCAGATAATGGTGATGATTCAGTTGCTGCTGCTGCTGCTTCTTGAGCCAAGATGTTTTTACATTCATAGAAAACATCATTCAGAAACTCTTCGTTCTGCAGTGATTCGATATCTGTAACTTTGAGTTCTTGGGGGGAAATGGTGTCTTCTCCGCAAGTGATCATTGCAATTGCAGATGTCATAGGATCAAGGCTGATTAATGGTTGTTCAATTATAGGTTCAGGTGCTTTGAAAAGATCCCCTTCGCCCCCAAGATCATAATCTGATATACTGGAGGTCTGAATTAGGTTATCCTGAACATACCAAATAAAGATTCATTAGAAACCACAAGAACTTTCGTTTAACAATCAATCAAGAAACGAACAATCATATATGAAATAACACATGATTCCCAAATGTCTTAGCTAGCAAACAGAGAACAAAAATTGAATTTTTAAGAAGAAATCGTGAGAGAATAACTACCCTCCACTATCGTAAAGACCCAATGGTCTGATTTTAGGGTTAAACTACTACAACTTGATCCATTAGAGACAATGTAATGAAGCAGACGATTTTTTTTTTTTTAATTTTTTTTTGTGAAAATGGAAACCGATGGTGAGGTAAGACTTACGAACACTCAAGAATATTATGGGGTTGGCTTGTAGCGCACTGGCTCGCATTTAAACAAGTGAGAAAGATCAAAAGCAACTTTATGAGGTCAATTGCCTTTAGTGAGATTATAATTTCCGTAAATCAAAACTATTGGAGCAAATTACTATAGAAGTGGTACCTTTGCTTTAGCTTTTCCATTTATCCTACTTTTTTTTTTTTTTTGGTTGATTTGAGTTCTGGTGAGTGCGGTGAAAAGGTGAATCTTTAATACAAGTTGACATCAGATATTAACAAATTGAGGAATGGGTAAACAATAAGATAGCTGAATATGTCCCTTCTATTCAAGAACATTGGAAAACAACACTGAAATGGACATTAATCAACGATTCTCACTACCCTTTCACAATGGGAAAGAACGAATATATACATCCACACACAACTCTCTTTGATTGCCAAGAAATTTCTTGAGCATTTCTTGAAATCTTCGCCAGTTCCTGAAGGAATTCAAAAGGGGTTTCTTGATAACTAAAATAAGTTCATGAATCAGTTAATTTCTTAATCCCTCAGGAATGAAGAAGATAGCAACAAGTCAAAAACCACCAAGAACCCATCTTCGGAGGTTTAATTGCTACACTAAGTAACACATAATATACGATAAAGTAACCATGCATTTCAATAAAAAATCTCAAAAACCCTAAATCATACATGCATATATATATATAAGACCTAATCAAATACAGCATTCAAGGTGATGGAAAGAAGAACGGATTTAACAGAGTACGATTAATAGAGAGAAAAAGAAAGACCGTAAATGGAATTACCAAGCAAGTAATAGACTTCTGTGAGTGACAGAAATCATCAAATTGTTGAACATCAGTTGAGAAGTTCTGAAAATAAGGAAACATTAGGCCAGTCTCAGCATACATTTCTCGTTTTCTTTTAAAAAATAGATGATATATATATATATTTTTTTTCTGGTTTTTTATTCTCCTCTCAAGAAACTTGAGAGCTCTGAGGTTAAAGATACACACACCCCAATTGACTTTCAAAGGTGAAAAAGCGAGTGTTTTTTCACATTAAGAAGCCAAAAACCAAGCTGCAAAACCAGTAGCAAGTGGAAGTAACATAAAGGCAGCACGAAGGTAGAATTAAGAAACGGGAAGAAGATTCAATTGAAGCACAAAAGAACAGAGAGTAGGAGGAGGAGGAGGAGTCCTCTCTATGATGATTTTGTATTTGTATGGACGGACTATGGAGTTCATGTACCTGCTTCATTGATTTATATGGGGGCCTGTGACTACAAGCCGACAGCAGTTGTGGACCCCATGCACATTGGTCCAAACTATAACTATACATATATAAATGTATGTGTATTTAGCTCTCCACAATTACATTTATATAACAATTTGATAATGCAATTAGTGGTATTCTTTTCCATATATGGTACTTATAAATATCTGGTTTATCATTGTTTTTTGTGCCATCCACTTTAAAAGCATGTCGAATAAACAAAACCAATACTCATTTACATCTCATTCAACTGTTGCTAAACACAATAAATAAAAGAAATTAAACAACCTTTTATTTTATTTTTTTCCTATCACTTTTAAATGATGATAAATATAATAAAAATTTATCAATTCTATTAAATATGATGAAAAGCACAAGGAAGAAAAAATATGAGAAAATGTGATTTCTCATAAATAAAATATGATTGAATTTTGATCCTCCGAGTTTCATAAATAGATATGAGGAGAGGTATTATTTTTAGATGATGATCAAGGTGATTGTATTGCTCTTGGATTAAAGGTGATTGTATTTCAACAAAGATGAAATGTATAATTTCAACGGCTTCTTTAGTAAATGTTTATGATCAGAAGTATATAATTCGGATTTGAGAGACATCAATGTGGATGTCTAATAGTAATACATGTGATGGATGTTCAGAAGAAGGTTCTACTTCGGATAATTACGAAGAGGAGGAATCAATACAGGTGCATGAGATGCATGATGAAAATGATCCAGAACATGAGGAAGGTGATAATGGGACCAAACTTTGTTGTTCGAGTTAGAATGTCTCCATAATTCTTCCTATCGATCCGGTCATTTAGGTCTGAAACCCTGTGTTGTTTCTCCACACTGTTATTAAAGAGCTGAATTTTCTTGACTTGATCATTAGAGCTTTCATCAACGGAAGCAAGAGCTTGAGCAAGTTTAGCAGACATATGTTCTCATTTTCTAGCTTCTTTCTTTTGTCGAATAGCAACATTATTTTCAATCATGATCTCTCTTACTTCATCAACAATGAAACTCCATTTTTAGCCAATTCAATCAGATCAAAGATAAGCTTGCTCTTCTTGCTTTTTTTTGGAAGGAGGGGGTACTGAAGGATCACCAGCAGTGGAAGAACTTCTATCTTCAGCATCATGAGCTCCCCTTAAGAAGGAAGCATTCCTCTTTCGAGGATTGAGCTGATCATTATCATAATCAATGTCACTATTAGTTCCTTGAGGACCCCCCCCCCCCCCTCTCAAAATATGAGTCAGGGTAGGCGACATTCAAATGAAAAGTATAAACAACGGCTTGTGCCATGAACCAAGATCAAGGAACCCTTCATAATCACCGGTCTCTAATTGATGACCAGTGTCTAGAATGGGTTGATCAGTTGTTGTATCAGTGTCTGGAATGTCAACTTCAACAATTTCCTTTTGAAGGTCAGTTTCAACCCTTGCAGTTTTAGACATCTCAGGATGAGAAGGAAATTACCACCATTTTCATTTGCTGATTAGGTATCTCTTGATTATTCTCCCCCTTTTTGACAACATCAAATTAGGGAAGAGAATTAGGTGGTGGTGAAGGAATGTGAGGAGGAGGATGAGATGGTGGAGGAAGATTTATTGATGGAGGTGGAGGTGTAAGAGGATTATCACCTGGAGAGTTTGATGGGGTGTCATCAGCAACCATATCATCAACATCAATATCAACCAAGGCTATAAGTCGCTTCATGTCAGCCACATCCTTTTTAGCTTTAGTTAACCTTTTTTCTAATGATTGAGTAATCTTCACTATTACAGAGACTTGAGAAAGCACAACAATTTGAAAGTTGGAGTTGGATTCTTCCTGATCATCTTGATGAAAAGCAACAGTCTTGATAGGAGTTAGCAAAGGAGGAACAATCTCAACTTGAGGAGAAGGAGACACTGGTTTTGGAGAAGTTTCATCTTGGATCATTGGTTCATCAGTTTCCCAATAGGAGGGGTTGGTCCATGTTGTACTACATCATCAGCAGGGGGAGAGGATGAAGTAGTAGACGAGAATCTGTTCATCCTTAGATGATAGTTCATTCCATGAGCAAAGTCTTATTCCTTATCAGAGATTGATTCTTCTTCATCTTTATCATGTTTATCAGTGTCTTCTTCTTCTTCTTCTTCTTCAGCCCCTTCTTTATTACCAACGTCTTCATCATCATCATCATCATCATCATCATCATCATCATCATCATCATCATCATCATCATCATCATTATCATCCTCATCGTTCTCTTCTTCAGAGTCAGAGTATTCAACCATATAGGGTTTGCCAACCCATTTTTGCATCTTCTCAGTAATAAGCAAAGTCACCTTCAGGTGGAGCAACATTAATAATATTTGTGGAGAGGGCAGGAATTGGAATAATAATCCCATGACTTCCAACATAACATTCCTCATGAGATAAGATCAGTCCAAGCCAACGGTGATAGGTAACATGTACTGGCTTTTTTTTTTCCTAGTGATGCCATCAATCATCTGATCAAGAAAAAGTTGAGAAAAATCTAACCTTCTATTGTACATAATAGAAAACAAAACCATTTGCTCAAAGAGATTCAGTTGATCCAAACTCCCAGTCTTGTATACAAGACATTTGCTAATTACACCTATTTGATACTTCCATCCTACGTTAAAACACTAATGAAAAGTGTTTTTGTATGGATAACGAGTAATGCCCTGAAGTTTGAAATTATACCCTAATTTTTCACGAATAAACTTGCAGCTTTTTTCTGAGGGATTTTGAGAGTAATTTTCAAATCAAGAAAGACAAAGTGTAGTTCAAAAGGCTTCCACATCAATAGTAACCCTATAATGACCATCTCCAATGGTTCCAATAATGGTTCGAGCATTATAATCAACAGAGCATGAATAATAGAACTCACATACTTGTTTCGGTAGAATGGGTCTAGGAAGTCACATAATTCATATCTAAGAGGACAAATCTTGACATAGTCGACAAAATCTCCGATTCCTGAGTTGGCGAACTACTTTGGGATGTCGTCAAAGAATGCCACATTGGTTGCTTGAATGATGATGTGAGAATCAGGGGCATGAGGAACTTTGATGACATTAGCGCTGGGGGAAAACTCGTATAGAGGCTTTGACATGGTGAAATGTTTGAGAAAGATGATGGTTGAGAGTCTTTTCCAAGAGATAGAGATAGATAGAGAGAGAGAGGGAGAGAGAGAGAGAGAGAGAGAGAGAGAAAGAGAGCCAATTACTTGAATAGCTTGTAAAATTGACCGAGGACGGAGAATTCCCAATTTATACCAAAACGTTTCTTCCCTTTTACGTAATTATGATTGAAGAGATTGTCACCATAAAAATCTCATATCCCAAGATATGAACATATGTTTTAATCATTATCCAAAATTTACCGTTGAGATAAGAAAGATACATCAGTGAGACACATCATCAGCGACAACAAACATCAACGTGATCGATCAATAAGTGAATTGATGATGGTCACCAGTAAGTTTGTGATGCCTCCTGATAGTGTAGGCTTAAACTACCATTCACTGACATAGTATTGCTAGATTTCATCAGCGTGTAGTTTCATACGCTAACTCATTAATCACTTTTATTAGAAGAAAAAGGCAAGAGTAGTATGATGCATGTAATACATTCCGGTATGAAATGTACCCATCGGCAAAGTGTGTCGAAGTTTTATCAATGTATGGCTAATAAAGTGAATCCTTAACTTCTTAATATAAGAATTGTTGGGAAATAGTGTGTATGTTCATGTAATATATCACGGACAATTGTGTACCCATCAACACAGATTTTTCAAATTCTCATCAGCGTCTAGTATCATATGCCGAATCATAAAATTCTAAAGAAGATTTTAAGGAAAGAATGGTTTGATGTGTGTGATAAGCTGTGGTGTTTTAGCTTAACCTTCGACATAGATTTTTCAAGCTCTCATCAGCGTATGGTACATTACGCTGAATCATAAAGCTTTAAAGAATAATATAAGGGCAACAATAGGTTGGTGCGTGTGATAGCCTACGGTACATAGACTAACCATTGGCATAGAGTTTAAAACTTTTATCAGTGTGTGGTATATCATAGTGAATCGCCAAGTTTTATTGAGAAGAAATGAAGGAAAGAATGGATTGTTTCAATCATGCTGAGGTGGAATCAGCGTGAATCATAAACAATGATAACTCATAAACAAGAACTGGTTTAAAATGTCGTATCATAGAGTTAAGTTGCATTCTAGAACTATAAATTTCACCATCAATCCGTTTAATATGTACAATAAAATAATAGTTAATAATATAAGAATACAACAAAAGAGTTAGACAAACAAGGAAATATTCTAAACAATGATATTTTTGCAGCTTTTTCAGAAGTATGATAAATACTTGATCCATCAAATCTTTTGAATTAAATGACCATAATTTCCTTTCATTTTCCAATATATCTACTCTTCAAAACACTGTCTATAAAAGAAAGCAAGCAAGGATAAATTATATCAAATAAGAAACACAATTCATAGTAAACAAGAGAGATAAAATGGCTTTAATCATTGAGATTTTGCAGATTGATTCCAAGATTCATGTTCACCAAGAACAAGAGAGGACTATGAACTAGTCATTATAACCAACGAGTTAAAAGAATCTAATCTTTGTAACCTTAGATTTATAAAAGTCACCAAGACAAAACTCAAAGATTCAACTCATTGTGATCCATGAAGGAAGAGAATGTGGGATTGTTGTCTTGTTGAAGACGCCTCTGGATTTCATATGGGAGTTGGTGTTGCTATAAGAGCATCTATGAAAATAGATGTGCTAAGTTACCTAACTTCACCTCATCCCATTTCAATGTAGATAGGCTATTCAAGATGGAGGGGATATGTGCCCAGAAGAACATTTAGTGGCATAATTACCCCTATCTGGTCTCATCAACAAGATACAACTAATCAATGAGCGTGAGCATTAGCATCAGGGAAATAATGGTTGGCACTGAATAAAAGATGCAGAGTTAGTGTCAAGTAGCTCCACAAGGAGGGTGATGCATTCAAGGAATGAAAGTTGATCCCTTCAAAGTAGACCAGTTAGGTAAGGTCATTATCGATAGAGAAGAACATGTAGGCAATGCTAGTAGAAAAATGTATAATGTATATTTCTTTGGTAAAAACCAAGTTAAAGAAAATCCTTTAATGCACAAAATCAAAAAATAAACTAAACTGTAGCAGCTTATATTTACAATTAGATTACGACATCTCTCTTCTTAATTTCGAATTGTATTTATGGATCCTAGCCTTAAATATTAATTTATGTTAAAATATTAAGGATTGAATCAACTAACTAAAATCTTATCTCTTTTTTTAGATGTATAGAAATGGTGATCTTCCTCTTCCTCCTCCTCCTCCACCCACTCACAACTTTACTCTTTTGTCGATCGTTTCAAAGGACAAGCTTACTGGTCTATGATAGATGAACTGGATGTGAAAATTGAAGAGGCCATTGTGATACGAGAACAAATAGTATATTCTTAAAAATCCTGTTCTTGAAATAAACAAAGAAAGAGCTACTTCTGAGGAACTTGTTGATTATAATCAACACATTGACAAAGCCACTAATGTTTCTTGCATAATGATTGCAACCATGGGACATGACCTTCAAGAAGGCAAGGGCAAGAAGAGAATGGTTTATTCCCAACCTAAGTGGAAAGGGAATTCCCATATTGGAGAGTCCAGTGTGTCAAAAGGAAAGGTCAAATTCGATGTTCCTCCTGTCGGTGATTTGAAAGAAGCCATGTGCTTTTATTATAACCAAGAGGGGAATTGGAAGAGAAGTTGCCCTAAGTACTTACAATATGTGAGAGAGACTAAGCACAAGGTGGCTAGCTCTTCATCTAGTATGTACTCTATTGAAATCAGTAACACTCATATTTCAAAATCTTGGATCCTTGATATGGGACGTGGTTTCCACATTAGTTCTAATATGTACGGACTAAGGAAAAGTGAAGAGGTCGAGAATAGGAAGATGAACCTTATCATGGGGACTAGGAGAAATTTAGTTGTTACCAAGATTGAGACTTATGAGCTTATGTTTTATAGTGTTAGGGTTGATTAAAACAATTGTTGTTATTCTTCAGAAATGACAAGAAACATATTTTAATTTCATGATTTATTTTGACAATGTCATTGTTATAGTTTTAATGATAATGTTGGTGCAATTTTAGCTTATAAAATGGTGCATTTATGTAACATCCCAAAATTTAAGACCGAAAATTCCATTTTCGATATAACAATTTAGAAAACCGTTTATAAGAAAACATCATCAAGTCATATCATTTCATCAAAACCACAATCACATGTCTTAAACCATAACATGACAATAATATTAATAGCATAGTACAATCCTAAGAATGACATAGTGCGGAAATTCGGTGTGTGTGTGTGATGCGCAACTACCGCGCCAGCTCATTCCCCTTCGTTGAAGAGGTACTTTAAACAAAACTGAAAATTGTAAGCACGAAGCTTAGTGAGTTCCCCCATCATACCACATACCACATAACTACATAACTACATATTGTCGGGTAGTTCTGAGGTGCCCGACCTACCCTGTCTAGAAATTCTGGGGTGCCAACCTACCTGTCTGGCAGTTCTAGGGTGCCGACCTACCCTTCGGCTTAACTCAACCGGCTACGGGGACTATTTCACCCCTACTACTACCACATAATCACATAGCATAAACATACTGTCAAGCATAGCTGGGGTGCCCGACCTACCCTTCGGCCCTTACGACCGTAACATGGGGACTATTCCCCCTACTACCTATCATCATATCATGCTAGTACATAATCATAACAAATAGAACATATCAGATTATTATCACAAAGACAATCATCTCTACTATAACTCTTACTAGTGGGTCGGCCTTGGTGCCTTAGACCCACTTCTACTGGAAGGTAACTCACCTTAGTTCGTGAAGTGTCCGAACTGTCCTCCTTGTCGGGATCAACTCCTCTCAATTCCTACACATAATAATATTCCTTAATTACCATTTCATACTCTTAACCCATTTTGTGGGTCAAATCAGGTCAAAGTCAAAGTCAAGGTCAATACCTTGGTCAAAGTCAACTATGGGTCAAAGTCAACATTTGGTTGACTCAACTTGCCAAGTTGACCCACCAACTCGCCGAGTTCCATAATCCTTTGAATGCTAAAAGCTTCGACCCTACTCGCCGAGTCTTTCAAGAACTCGCCGAGTTCTCCTTCATACAAAGTCGGGACCTTCTACAACTGACTCACCGAGTTCATCCTTGAACTCGTCGAGTCCTGCATCATGCAAGATGGCACGTCTAGTCCTGGACTCTCCGAGTTCTCCATGAACTCGTCGAGTTCTCAAAGTCAAGGTCAACAC